TTTCAACTATATATCGGACTTACATAGATGACGTCACGCTGCTTATTGTGTTTATCTCAGCAACCCCTTCCATTTGCTATCCATGTCATAGGGGCTACTACAGAAATAATACCACGACATTTTGTAGCATGTGCCTTATTGGATTCAAAATGGCGGCATTCAGTTCATTGTGCCGCAAGTTCACAATTCAATTTCAGGATGTGTCCCTTACTACCATACTAAGCTCGTTATAGATCAAGTTAAAAGCTTGCAATAATAAAACAACATGATACCATCAGCCTCTATATCCTTCGAATTTAACTTCTTGTTGTCTCAACTAATCAAAAAAGTAATCACCTCTGGTAATATCTTCTTCTACCTGACGATAAATGGGTATAGCAGGAGACAGGAGCACTTATCCTGGTAAGGGTGACAAATGACCAATTAGCGGGAAAAAGTCCCGGCACTGGCGTTGCCCCTGGCAACGGCACCTCGTGCTACCAACGCCACTTCAAGAAAAAAATATAGAGTAAGAGTTTCTTGTGGTTTTCTGGAGTAGATTAAATGTTGAGTAGGTAAACTCATCCGGTTGTTGGCGAGGTTAGGTTTCGGTCAGAATAGCAAAAACTCCGATTAATCATCCGAATCCCGGGGTGCACTCCAGTCTAAGGAAGAACGGGGGAGGTGTCGCTTTTGTCTGCAGCAGTCATTCCTCCTCCTGAGACGCTTTTTTAAAATCAGGCTGTAGGGGCATTCTGTGGCTTCGCCTCATCCTCCAAATTTATTCGCTCTTACAAGACCGCTGCCGTGTCTCCCCTGCGTAACTCAGACCCCGAAGTTGTGGAGATTAGGAGTGAGTCAGAACCATCTGTGGCCGTATTCTAACCGTGTTCAACGTCGCACATCCAAAACTAGCCGATACGACCGCTAATTTACCCATCGCGATTGTGGAGCAATCTACCTGGGGAGGCTTTACCTTCAAACATCAGAATTCTCATAGCAGCCGCGATGCCCTGGTATTCAGGCTTCTGCCTGCATGGCGGATTCAGTATAATAATAAAAAACACTCTGTAGACCGTAGCCTTCCACCCATACGTTATTTCTTCACTTCTTTTTCCAAACACCCAGAAACAATTTCGCCCCAAGTTATTCTGTATCTGACCTTTGGAAATTCCCCGTGGCAACCCCAATTTGCGACAATTTGTGCCTATCCGATAAAACTTTCCGTCTGCATTTTTTATTCACGAACGGGAAACGACCAATATTTGTTTTTCCAGCGATTTCACAGTTTTCAGTATTTTTTGCACTCATCAGATCAGTGTCAGGCGCACAGGTCAGATGGTCGATATACAAATAATACGTGGTGATTTTATCGAATATTGTGACCGCATAGCATGTCAATTTTTGACGCAGAAACGCCGGAAATTGCGAAATGAACATTTTCTCGAAACAATTGCACTTGCATTTCAATATGCCAAATGCACTGTGCTCATAATTGGAAAAAGTGCAATGGCGATAACCGTTGCTGTGGAACACAAAATTCATACAACGTAGTGTTAGGCCAGGGAAAACTTTATGATTCTGTTTTTTGCATAATTTTATTCACCAAGCCCGAAAGTGCTTTGAAAATTGTTTATACGAGGGTCATTTTTAAGTAAATGCCGTTTACGTAATGGAGTCTGAAAAATTTTATTTATGAAGGTAAATACTATCACAAACTAAAATATGATTAGTTTTATTTCAGGTTTAGGACAAAAAATTCTGTATTCTCTCTTGTTATGTCAAAAGTCGTAGTCTAGCGATGATAGCGTCTTGATTATTGGTTGATGACTTAGACGCAATTCAATGCACCCGAATTGAAAAATTTTGAGAATTTGAAAAATTTGATGTTTAAGGAAAATTTGAAAATTTTTAACATCAAAATTCTGAAGATTCTGAAAATATTGGAAATTTTGGGGATATTGAAAACTGAAAATATTGATAATATTGGAAATATCGGACATATTGAAGGTATTGAAAAAATTGAAAATATTAAACATTTTGAAAATATTGAGAATGTTTGAGATTATGAAAATTTTAAAAATATTAAAAACTCTGAAAATCTTGGAAATTGCGAGAAGTTTGGAGAACTTGGATCTAGAATTTTTTTTCAAAAATCGTATTCTAGCGATGGTAGCGTCTTGATGATTGGTTGATGAGTGAGACGCAATTCAATGTACCAAACGCTCGAACTGAGAGATTGAAAAACTGGAAAAATTTGAGAATTATGAAAATTTTGAATTTTTTTAAATATTCACATTTTTACATTTTCGAAATATGTGCATGTTTTTTTTAAATTTACAAAATTACGAAAATTTTTAAAATTGTAAGGATTTTGAAAATTATGAAGATATTTAAAGTTCTAAAAATATTGAAAATATTGAAGATTCTGAAAATTTTGAAAATCTTGAACGTTCTGAAAATACTGAATATCATGAAGATTCTGAAAATCTAGAGCGACTTGAATTTTGGAGAATTTGAGAATTATGAAATTTTTTAAATATTCACATTTTAACATTTTCGAAATTTGAACATGAATTTTTTTAAAATTACAAAATCACAAAAATTATGAATATTTCAAATATTTTGAAAATTTTGAAGATATTCAAAATTCTGAAAATATTGAAAATCTTGAGGATTCTGAAAATTTTGAAAATCTTGAAGGTTCTGAAAATTCTGAAAATACTGAACATCATGCAGATTTTGAAAATCTTGAGCGACATGAATTTTGGAGAATTAGAGAATTATGAAAATTTTAAAATTTTTTAAATATTCACATTTCAACATATTCGAAATGTGTACATGATTTTTTAAAATTACAAAATCACAAAGAATTTGAATATTTCAAAATTTTTGAAAATTCTGAAGATATTTAAAATTCTGAAAATATTGAAAATCTTGATGATTTTGAAAATTTTTTTTGAAAATCTTGAATGTTCTGAAAATTCTAAAAATACTGAACATCACGAAGATTCTGAAAATCTTGAGCAGCTAGAATTATGAAATTTTGAAATTTTTTAAATATTCACATTTTAACATTTTAGAAATATGTACATGATTTTTTTAAAATTGCAAAATAACAAAAATTTTAAATATTTCAAAGATTTTGAAAATTTTGAAGATATTTAAAATTCTGAAAATATTGAAAATTTTGAACATTCTGAAAATTTTGAAAATCTTGAAGGTTCTGAAAATTCTGAAAATACTGGACATCATGCAGATTCTGAAAATCTTGAGCGACTTGAATGTACATGATTTTTTAGAATTACAAAATCACAAAAATTTTGAATATTTCAAAGATTTTGAAAATTTTGAAGATATTTAAAATTGTTAAAATATTGAAAATCTTGAAGATTTTGAAAATTTTGAAAATCTTGAACGTTCTGAAAATTCTAAAAATACTGAACATCATGAAGATTCTGAAAATCTTGAGCAGCTAGAATTTTGAAAATTATGAAAATTTTTGAGGTTCTGAAAAATATTGAAAATCTTGATGATTTTGAAAATTTTGAAAATCTTGAATGTTCTGAAAATTCTAAAAATACTGAACATCATGAAGATTCTGAAAATCTTGAGCAGCTAGAATTATGAAATTTTGAAATTTTTTAAATATTCACATTTTAACATTTCAGAAATATGTACATGATTTTTTTAAAATTACAAAATAACAAAAATTTTAAATATTTCAAAGATTTTGAAAATTTTGAAGATATTTAAAATTCTGAAAATATTGAAAATTTTGAACATTCTAAAAATTTTGAAAATCTTGAAGGTTCTGAAAATCTTGAAGGTTCTGAAAATTCTGAAAATACTGGACATCATGCAGATTCTGAAAATCTTGAGCGACTTGAATGTACATGATTTTTTAAAATTACAAAATCACAAAAATTTTGAATATTTCAAAGATTTTGAAGATATTTAAAATTCTGAAAATATTGAAAATCTTGAGAATTTTGAAAATCTTGAACGTTCTGAAAATTCTAAAAATACTGAACATCATGAAAATTCTGAAAATCTTGAGCAGCTAGAATTTTGAAAATTATGAAAATTTTTGAGTTTCTGAAAATTTTGATATTATTTAAAATTTATAACATTTTCAAAATTCCGAAAATTGTAAGCGTAAAATGATCTATTACTGGATGCACGATAACAAAATGTCAAATGAGCGCTAACTAGGAACATTTCATATTAGCACCTAATAAGTTCTTTATCACTCTAGAATATAAAATCACTTACTTCGAAAACGTCGGACTGATCGCCCAAAGTTGAGCGTTTCCTTTTACATTGAATCTCTTCTAACTCCTCAACCAATAATTCAAATCAAGACGCTACCATTGCCAGATTTCGATTTCTCACATAATAAAAGTAAGGTTCATATTCTAGAACCCTGTAGAAAGACATTTCTTTCCTAAACGTGCAAAACTATATATATACTTGAAGAAATTGTGCAACTGGGAATCATATCACTGAGGCTTTCCCTTTAAGGGATATATATTGCATTCCCTTTCCCCTTTTATAAGCTGCGTATTATGTTAGCAACCTTCGCAGACCCTTTCTTAGGGCAAGATTCGTGCGAAGTCAGGAAATCAGAATTAAATTAGTTTGGTTGCGGCCCCGGGCCACAATATCTTAATAACGGGAACAATTAAGATCGGACCTTGAATGCCCTAAATTAAATTAATAGGCCTCACTTCAGTTGATCATTATAATAGATGACATAATTTTATTTAGATTATTACTCACGCTATTAAGAAACGTATACGAGGGATGTCTTTTAAGTTTTGCATATGGAAATAAAACAACACGGTAGAAAGTTTTAAATGACTTTATTGTTTTTCGAAGTATTCTGCACGAAGATTAATATTGTCGACTGATGTGGCGCTTCGTTGTCGAAAACAGACAGTAACTCAACAACGCATTCTTGTTGCGATAATTATCTCTGAAAGTATATCTACTTAACAATATTCAGTGAAAAAAATCATCTAAAACTTCACGTTTATTCATAAATAGTAGTATCACTTTCAGCAAAACATTTCATTTCATGATCCTTGAAGAATTCTTCATTAACGTACTTTCCACAATTCCGGCACTCAAGTAATCTGTTTCTTATCTCTTTTTTCCTACCTTTCTTGGCCGACCCTTGGTCTTGTAACCTCTCTAATACCTCTTCTGTAAAAGTTCTAGTCGGTCTACTAGATGAAGCTTCTGAAGACGGCGCTGTGGTATCGTCATTGCGAATCTGTTCAACAACAGCGCAATTAATAGCTTTGGAGATATCTTCGAATCCGCTCAGAAAGATATTCTGATTTTGTTTTTATGTGATCTTATTCAAAAAAGGCCCCTTTTGATGTATTGCATCACAAATTGTTTAAGCATTTTTTAAACAAATTCCAATTCCATCTTAAAAAACGTTCCCAGTTAGCGCCCATCTGGTACTGTTATTTTCATTGATATCCGTTCATTTTTATGTTGCAAGTGCACTGTATGACATTCGCTATCATCGCGCATCCAGCAATAAGCTATTACACGGTTGAAATTTTAAAATTTTTAAAAATATCAAGTTTTGATAATTTTGGAAATTTAGAAAATTTGGACAATTATGAAAACTGAAAATTTTTATAATTTAAAGTTCTGAAGATTCTAGAAAGTATGAAAAGTTTGAGAACTTAAAAAATTTTAACAAATTTGAAAATTTGTACAAATATATCAATTTTGAAAATTTCGAAATATCTGAAAATTTTGAAAATCTAGGAAATGTGGATAATTATGAAAACTGAAAATATAGAAGATTTTTAAGATCTTGAAAATTTCGAATATTCTGAATATTTCGAAAATTCTGAAAATATTGGAAATCACAAAAATTTTGAAAATTTGGAAAATTTTGAAAATTTGAAAACTGAAAATTTTGAGAATATAAAACATTTTGAAAAAATGAAAGTTGAGAAATTTTAACAGTCCTGAAAATTTTGAAAATCTTGACAATTTTGAAATTTTGAAAATTTTGAAACTTGAAAATTTTGACAATATAAAACATTTTGAAAAACAAAGTTGAAAAACTTTGAAAATCCTGAAAATTTTGAAATCTGAAAATTTTTAAAATCCCGAAAATTTTGAAATTTCAAAAATTTTGAAAATTTTGAAAAGTGAGAAAATTTTGAAATTGAAAATTTAGAAAATTTTTGAAATTTTGAAAATTTTGAATTATTCAAAAAATTGGTAAAATTTTTAAGAAATCAAAAATACTGATAATCTTAAAAATTTTGAATATCTTGAAGCACAGCAAAGTGGCGTCAGTTTGTAGGGCTCTCATGTTAATGGAATGATAGATATAGGTGTTAGTCCGATAGGTATCAAGACCCAATTTTATCATTGATCGTTAAAGAAAGTACCAGTCTAGCAAAACCTCTAGAAGATTCTCTCCTCCACGTTTATTAACAAAACAATTTCTGTAAAAACTAATGGAAACACATCATCCTTGAAATTCTGTTGCCTCTTCTCATGAGGCTGTTTCTCTTGTATATTTAATTTAGGACGCTCACCTTCTCTAAGTAAGTCCTCAAGAATTCAGACTCATCTGGATCAACAGGACGTTTCTGCTTAAGAATTTTCACCAAGGTTCGCTTGATCCTGGGGTATTTAGCTGGTCTCATTTTTGTGAAAATCTCGAAGTATTCACGATCTTGAAGTGCGTTGAACACTTCCTCGAAGTGGTGCTGAATTATAGAGTCATCCATTTTGAATTTTGATAGCTAGTACGGCCTTGACAGAACGGGGACATACGATTGTCAGGCTTTGCGTATTGGTTAACATATGACCACCATGTACAGTGTGATATTTACTAGTAGTTACAGGAAGACGAGACAATAAGGGCCGATGTTACAATTATTGACCCGCGCCTCGGGTATTAGGTATCTTCTGTCTTCAGAAAGGACAACATATAAATAAACCGACGGGCACAGCATGTTCAGTAATAATTTTCTCACTCAGCAAATATCACTGATTTTATACACATGCAGACCAATACACAAGATGCGATCTTGCTATTCAACCAACTGTCTTTGCTTTACATCTTCTCAGAGATGAAAACTACAGACTACTCGGCTTCACAAAGCATATGCAACCAACAGTGCGTGTAGTTAAGTTCTTCCTCCATAGATGGACTCTTTCAATCATCCTAGTGAGCAAACGTAGAATGACTGTTTGCACCCTAAGAACTGCCTAGTCTGCAAGATGACATTTTATAGGTTTTTTACATGATACCCGTGCGGATCACAATTGACTGATCAGAAGGCATTTTTGGAGTAATGGATGAAAATCAATACAGTCGGTTTCGACTATGTTATCTCTTAAACTAGCGGAAAAAATATACGCATATGTAAGAACGATCTCTAATACCCGGATATTAAAAGAAAACCGTCGATTAATTTCCATATTGTAAACGACGTGATGGTTGCCTATATTCGTTCAGCTTGTATCTCAACAACTATCAACGTTAAAAGAAAGTCCACGAGACACTTCTTTGTGCAATAAACTGAAAAGCCATCGTCCGGAGCGATAAAGACAATGTTTGTGCTTTAAAAAGATTGTCTAAGCATTCCCTAAAGCTCTTGTTGCAATATCATCTACTTTTCGTTATATCCTGCCAGTCTAGTCAAAACTAGCACAGTACTCTTAAACATGAGAGTATAAAGTGATAGATACACGGAATTTTACATTCTTTTATATAGCCGAGAGGTGAGTATGAGCTATAAAATGAAAAGTAGTAAAGTCTCTATGACTCACCTTATTTGTTATCTGAACTTTACGACTAAAAGGAGCATACAGTTTGCATGTTCGTCGCTATATTTAGAAAATTTTCCTCGAAACCTGAACAGTGTTGATGATAACGGAAGATACCAAGCATAAACGTATTATGCTAATAACTATAAAAAAATGTGAAAATAACGTGGAATATCATATTAAGGAATCTGTATCGCTGTATAGAAGATAACACCCAAATCCATGTATTATTCAGACTCTAGTTGTTCATCAAGAGATTTTAGGTTTGCATGAATGAAAAATCACCGCATACAGGGTGTCCCACTAGGAACTACAGTGATTGTCTAAAAGGTTGACGTAAGGCACTTCCGGTTGTACCGGTAGTAAATACCAACTTGATTATTTTAAATTTCAGTAATATTTATGTTTTGACTTCTAACGTTGCAAGATTCGAAATACATATCATGAGTAAGAATGCGAGGTACTGTATCTGGGAAATTTTCAGAATTTTCAGAATTTTTAGGGTTTTAAAAAATGGTGAGAGGTACTCAAAAGTTTCCGTAAGAAACACCCTGTATCTTCGAAACGGCTGAGCCGATTTTAACAAATTTGGGATAGTTAAAGAGAGCTATTTTTGGGCTACGAATGTTAAAATATTTGAAGTTTTGTTAGTTTCACATGTGGCCGCTAGAGGGCTTTTTTCGACATTCCGACGGAAATTGTTAATTTACTCAGAAAAGAAATAATGGATATATGAGTTTTAGATCACAGATAATGCAAGAAATAGGCAGTGTTATAAATAAATTAAGTTGTCCTTATTTTTGCGCTAATGCAATGTGGCAAGGTGACCTTTCATTTTAGTCCCGCTGGTTTTCTGGCCACTTGTACGGTTGTTCTATGATTCTAAACCTATTCATTACTTGTGACATAAATATTTCCGAAATCTTCCTATGAAAAACAAGTTTTTCGAACTTTGGGGTGACGTTCACGTCAAATTGAAAAAAAATAAGCAACCTGTCGTGACTGTTAATAGTCAGTGTTGTTAAATCACCACGGTTCACTTTAGTGGTTATGTTTTTTTAAAAATACTTTTTTGCTATGAATGTCAAAAATGAAAAATAACGTAACGAAATACTTGACAAAACAGGCAGCAATAAATATGAAAAATATAGACACACGATCAATAAACACCTTCACTATCACAAAAATTTAAAAGGCACAACATTACGATAAAAAGATCTACTGAAATTCAGAAAAGTGACTGTTGAAGAACTCATCAAGTTGGAGATCAAGAAGCGTTTTATTTTGGTTCATTAGGGAGTTTGATCTCATCCAAAAATTTCTAAACTTTTGAAAATTTAAAAATTTTTTAAAATCCAGATGGTTTTTTAAATATACAAAATTAAGAAAAATTTTAAAATTTTGAGCATTTTTAAAATTTTGAAAACTGGAAATTTTTAAAATTTTGTATGCATATGCGCAGACTGAGTCCATCTGAGGTGTGCGCAGGAGATTTTAGAAACGAAAAACCCGTCACATGATGTCAGCAAGACATTAGTGGAAGCACAGTTTTTTTAAATTTCTCAATATAATTAGTTCCGGATCGAGATCCGCTTATCATCGACAGTTGCGATGCTGTGTAGAATTGTGTATGCTGTAGAGAAACTTTTCGGCCTCATCAACAAAATAAATATGCTTCAAGTCACGTAGATTACCATGTGCATAAAACAAACGTGGCATCCAAATCTAGCTCATAATTATATTTGAGCGTAGAAACTGGTCTGGAGGTGGAGTTCTGTAATTAAAGCACACACAGCTCAGGGTTACCACAGCTAATATATAGCTACTTGCGAGTTGCAAGGTCACTATGTTTGAACACGTAATTGGTATGTAGAGGTTTGAAGTATGTGGGTTGAGATTTAATTTAACGTTTCTAGTGAAATGCAGTATAACGCCTTTGTGGTGTAAAAGAAATGGAAATAATACTGTACATTGTAATTTGTTTTGTTCCAGATAACCAACAATGATACCTTCCTGGAAACAGATTTTGGACTCATCGATGAACAGGATCCGGTGACGATGATGTCAATTCTTGTGATAGGTAAGTAAACGCAGCAAAACGTAAACAGTATCAAACCTCCAAAGTACATTAAAGCTACTTTGACTGAAATTAAGGGATACCTAGGATAACAGGATAACATCAATATACACCATAACACAAAAAATCCGGAATAGTTCTGTATTTTCTCGGGTAAAGTATTTTTGGAACAGGGCAAGGTGTTCAGTAGGTTTCAGCTATAAATTCAACGGTGACCTTGGATTTGACCTTGACATTCACATTCAAGGTTCATTCACGGTCCACTTTATTTTTTCGAATAGAAATGCAGGCAATTGATAGAAATGTTATTTCAAGCACAATTGAAGTCTATGGTCAGGATGACCACTAAAGGTCAAATGGAGATCAAATGTGTGCTGCTAGGCAAACGTCGATACATCTCAATTCAATACTCAGCGTAATACAAATGTCCCTGGACAGTTCTGTATTTTCTCAGGTCAAGTATTTTTGGAAAAGGTCAAAGTCGACTGTTCACTAGCTTTCAATAAGGAATTCAACGATGGCCTTGAATTATACCTGGACCTTCACATTCATGGCTAATTCAGTGTCAATTTTATTGTATAGAAATCCTTATTTTGGATGCGGGCAACCAAAGGAGTGGAAAATTTTATGTCTAAGCACAATTAAAGGTCAAATGTAGATCAAATGTGTGCTGCTAGGAAAACCTCTATAAATCGCACGGGATTAGTAATGAAAATAGCTATCAGGGTCAGGACTTTGGTAAATTTTAACCAGGGAGTGAACGGTAATCTTGGACCTTGAGGTCACTTCACGGTGAACTTCATTTTTTAATGGAAATCACTGTTTTTTATGCCGGTAATCGAAAGACCGACAAAGTTTACGTTCAAATACGAACTGGAATCCAAGGTCAGTTTAGGGTCACACGTGTGCTGCTAGAAAAGCGCCATAAATCTCACAGGATTAGTGAAAAAATAATAATATGATAACTTCTGACAAGCGATCCTAGATTTGACCTTGAACCCCACCTTGGAAGTCATTTGAAGGTCAACTGTTTACGGTTTTATCAAATATAAGCCCTCAATGACAACATCGTTTAAAAATCATGAATTCGACCTTGAAATAACCCTGAAGGTCAAGGTCAAGTCCAAGATCAGTGTACACTTCCTCATTGAAATTTACCAAAGACGTGACCTTAATTGTATCTTTCATCACTAATCCTGTTAGACATATAGAGGTTTTCCTAACAGCACGCATCTGATCTTCATTTGATCTTTAGTGAGCATCGACTTCAACTGTGCTTGAACGTGGAGTTTTTCGTTCTTGCACTTGCCAGCATCAAAAATAGATGTTTCCATTTGAAGAAATGAAGTTGCCTTGAATTTGGCCTTGATATTCACTTTCAAGGTTAATTCAATGTCAACTTTATTTTTTCGAATAGAAACCGCCGGCAGCCGAAAGAGCGCAAGCACAATCAAAGTCCGTGGTCAGGGCAACCGCTAAAAGTCAAATGTAGATTAAATGCTGCTAGGAAAACCACTATAAATCGCATAGGATTAGTCATGAAAATAGCCATCAAGATCAGGTCTTTGGTAAATTTTAACCAGGGAGTGAACAGTGATATTGGATTTGACCTTGAGGTCACTTCAAGGTCAACTTCATCTTTTAATAGAAATCCCTGTTTTTGGTAATCGGAAGCGCAAAAAAGTTTACGTTCAAATACGAACCGAAATCCTCAAATTTGGGTCACATATGTGCTGCTAGGAGAACACTATAAATCTCACAGAATGAGTCACGAAATTGATTATCAAGGAGCGGTCTTTGACGAGCGATGCTAGATTGGAACTTGAACCTAACCTTCAAAGTCATTTCAAGGTCAAGTTTGTTTTATCAAATAGAAACATCATTATTCGACGTCGAGTTAACCTTGAACGTAGCAGTCAAGGTCAAATCCAAGATCACTCTGTTCAATCCCTCGTTAATGTTT